GACACAAAAAAAAAAACGCAAAAAATGCTCTCCCTTCTCTCTAGATTTCTCTCTCTACCATCCACATCTTTACCGACCGCCGCCTAGCAATGTCTCCGACCACCTTCCCGGCGTCGTCCCTTGCGGCGCCGACACACCAACCAGACACAGTTCCAATCTCTAGCAAATCTCACCATCAATCTGCCATCACATATATCCCCGCAGTCATTCAGTCTTATGCGGAACCAGAACTCTCCAGAAATAACTTCAACTCGGTAGATGAAGAAGACAAGGTTCTGCCTGCCCACGCACTATTTCCAGAATCAATTGAAGCTTTTGAACCTTTTGGTGTTTTTTCAAACTCCAATTCTAAGAAACTGCAAGGAATGGACGTCATCCCAGTTACCTCGAGGGAGATGTTCCCAGCTGCAGATTCAATTCTTTCTGCCCCAGCCACGATTTGTTCAAGCTCGCAAATCTCGATCACCGAGCCTACTGGAATAGCTGAAGAACTCCGAATTGGCTCTCTTCCGCTAAGTTTCAGGCCGAATGACCTTCTCCCGCCGGTCAAACAAACACCGCTGACCACTCCATTGGTGAAGGTAGGCGGAGCCCTCAGCAACTCAAACCCTCAGCTCCAAATACACGTGGACGGTCAAGATTTCCCCAGGTCCATTTCTCATCCATCTTTTTTTGGGCCTTCTAATTTGTCAACCGACCCTCCTCAATCCTCTCAGCCCAATACAAACACTCAGCCCATGTCTCAACCCACATCCACTCTTTCACAGCCCATAGGCCTATCTCTTCAACCTACTAATCCTCACAGACAGCCCATTTCAGCACCATACCTTTCAAACCCAACAACATACTCTGACAGAATCTCGACATTGCCCGGCGAGACTTTCATTCCAGCGAGCGACGACCTCCTGCTCTGCGCTGGCGATGACGTCGACCCAAAATCCGGTAAGTCCCAGCTAGCCGGCTACCCTTCCAAGACGACCCCAGAACCAATTAATTCGGTTCACTGCGGCCCCCGATCCCTCTCCCCGATTGCTCAACCCACCGGAAAAACCAACCTTCCTACTGGAGAATCCGACCAAACCACCGGACATTCCCCAACCAGGCCACAACCGAAAGACGCCTCCACGGCCAATCTCACAACAACCGGGCCAACTACAGAACCACCCACTGGCCAACCTTCATTTCGGGATGTTGTTTCGGGGAAGAGAGTTGGTAGTCCGAATGCCACGCGGTCGAAAAATGGAGGCTTGAGCTCCCCGCACCCAACACCGAAAGATTTCCCATTCGACGGGAATTACGAACATGCTTGCGGCACCATCATCCGCTCGGAGGGGAACAAAGTGAAGGCCCGTTTCTCCGACGCTGAATCTGGCGACCTGTCAGGTAAACTAGATAACACCCTGGTATTTAAGTTCTCATATGCTATCCCCGCCCCTCGAGATATATCTGCTGGATTAAGGAAATTGGGTTTTAAGGGTAGTGTATCATCAAAGTGGTTCAACTTTAACCACCTTCTAGTGACCTTCCACCTCATTGAGGCTTATAATGAGGTCTGGCTTAAGACCTTGATTCATCTGTGCGGATGCCCAGCTAGGGTATTCAAATATTATGTCG